ACACACACACACACACCCTCTCTTATTTTCTCTCTGTTTTCTGCTCTCTCTATCTCTGTACTGGCTTTGGCAGGGCTAAGCCGACCACACCCAGTCCTCCACTGTACTGCAGTCAGAAAGCAGTTCAGAGGTGTTCCTGAAGACACCAGGATGTTTAGGTGATGTGATTTAACCGCTGTTATCACTGCCATCATCACACGAACCAACTAAAGGACAAAAGCAGAGCGATGTTTGTCACAAAAAAAGTGTGTCAGTTTTTGACCTCAGATTGCACCTTCAGTATTTTCACAGTGGTCCTTTTGATGAACGGTAAATCATACCGACCAATCAGACGAGACTCCGTTAATCTACCGTAGACTCTGTAAATCTTGTATCTGGCCCCCTCACCACTTCTTGCTTTCTCCATCATATCATACGTATGTACAGTATCACCATACATACATTTTATAATGTCTAAACTCCATACCAAAACTAATTTTCAAAACTTTTTGTGTGCAATTTAAAAACAACAGCAACATAAAAGTACATAATACATGTTGCACACAGCAGCTGTTTTCATCTCGCTGTCACGTGTAACAACTTCTCCAACCCTGCAAAAAACTCTGCGGAGGAGTTATTCAAGTTGAGCAGATTTCCGTGATGCAACAGGGCTACATGATGAGAACACATTGTTACATAATCACCAACAGTCATCAGGATTCATCCTCTAGGCACTAAGAACGTCGGGATCAAATGTTTGGCCATCCACCCAAAAGTTGAGATATTTTATTTTGAACGAAAGTTTTGGACCGACAGACCAACTGACACTGCCATCCTAAAGCAATAGCACTAAGATAGCTGAAACAACTTCCAGAAGATGCTGCTTGTAAACCGCAACCACCTGCTCAGTCTTCGCTGGTCTCACCTGGTTGTTGAGGAAGGACTCGGCCTGTTTGACATCTCGCAGGAACAGATGGAAAATGTGAGCCTGGACCAGAACCTCTCTCCTGCTCTCCCACATCTCCAGCAGTTTGTTCCAGCCGACATCGAGCTTCTGGAGCCACTGCTGCAGGGCGGCCTGAGGGAGCGGAGCCTCCTCGGACTCCAGCAGCTCATTCATGGCCTGCAAGCGCTCGTAGTCTTCTTCATATCTGCATAGAAAACAGCAGCGACCCATTCAGTTATTCTCTGAACGCCTGATGTGTTTTTAAGACCTTTTGGGAAGACATGCTGAAGATAAGATCATGCTAAAAACAAGATAATCCTTTTGTTGTCCTTTGATAACTCACCGTCCGATCTCCTCCTTTAGGGCAGCATGTTTGTTGATGAGTCTCTCTGCCTCCTCCAGGTCGTTGGGCAGCTGGTCTGAGGCAGCCGCCGTCTGCGTCTGGACCAACCAGGTGAGGAAGGAGTCCAGGTCCTGACAGGAAGCGGGGAGGAACATGATTTGAATTTAATCAACTCCATTGTTGGTCTACACTACAGAAGTTTGTGCAGACTGACAAATATTAAAAATTACAGGCAGATCATGTGATTTCCAGATTACCAGTGTCAAGATGCTTCTGCTTAACTTGCAGCAGATACCGGTTTTTCCAGTAAAATTTACTTCCTAATACAACTAATTTATCCACTATGATTTTCTCAGTGTTTGTTCTTGTGAAAACTAGACTGATACAATTTGTCTTCTGGAAGCTGAACCTTACTCAACCTTTAAAGTGGCAAGGACATTAAACATAAATCTCTGTGTTTGTATGTGAAAAAATAAGAACTTTTCCTACAGTTATAAGTACATATACCTTATACCTGAGGAGTAAAATGCAGAGTCAGTTCCTATCGATTATCAGCAGCAGTATTTCTCCCTGATGTGTGGACTATCCCAGTGTACCTGTATGAAGCTCTGCAGCCTGCTAGCCACCATCAGCGAGTCCTCACAGCCCTGCAGGGTGCGTTTCAGCTCCTCCCACTCCAGACTGATGCCATCAAACGGCACAAGAACCTCCATGGCCCGACCTTGGTGGACGGTTGCTAGATGCTCGGCCTCTTCCTTCATCACCAAACAAGAGACGGCATTATGGTGACTGTAGCCTTTTATGCTGCATAATACAACCTGCCTATAAAATCTTTTTCACCTCCACAAATGTGTATCTTTTGAGGTTTCTCTAATTTGTTATGTATTTATAGGAACAAATGCCATTGCTATTATCTATTACCATTACTGATGAATTCCCTGTAGCACCAACAGTGGTGTGTTTGTAATAAATAGAAGGAAAAAAAAAAAAAAGTACAGTTAGCATTAAAAGTTAAAGCCATCATGGCTAACGAGGCCCAGACAAGAGTGAAAAGCTAAAAAAAAGTGTTGTTTTTTTAATGCACGTTATCTAAACAGACTTTAGACATTAATTTACATGGAAATACCACAGTTAAACACCTTTAATAATTTCTTTCTTTAACTTCTGTACAGTCATTGTATCTTCCCATAATTCCCTACCTGTAGATGCAACAGTTTGGGCTCCAGGACAGACAGGGCTCCCTCCATGGTAGAGAGACGTCTCTGCAGTGCCAGGACTCCTCCCAGGTCGCTGCCCATGTACTGAGTGGCATCGATGGCCTTTCTCTTGTCCTGGATCTGGGACTTGATCTCAGCACACTCCAGCAGGTAGTTCTGCAGTCGTAACATCGAGTCCAGCTGATCTTTCTTCTGCTCCACCAGCTCCACAATGCTGTTCCACCTGGTACGATGTGAAAGACAGGAAAGAGTGATACTGAAAGTGTAGTTTGAGAAGGATGAAGAGAGGGGAGTATGGTACTGTGAAAGAGAAATGTGCAATAGTGAAGACAGTCGTGACCTATTGGGAAATTTTACACCTATCATTGACTCTAATTTTAAAAGTGATTTGTTTTAGTCACATGCAATATTCAGTAACAAAGTTCAGTTAGGTCCTCAAAGCAGCATTCATTCATCTTCATATATGGTTTGAAAAGATATAAACTGTAGGGCT